TCCACTGTTTGTGTTCACCTTTTTGTTTATGACCTCTGAGTACTGAAAGCAAAATACTTGAGAATAAATGTTGAGACCCAAGCCTAAGCTACAGTAAAATATAGGACATCCCAAATTTTATCTGATTATGAAGACTTAGAGCAAATATGTCTTAGTAATTAGTAAAAACGGATTTAATTCATTATAATGAAGTAAAGTTGGCTTTTACACACTAGACTGACATATGCTCATTCCCTTCAGATTTAGTAATAAAAGGGCATATGCAGAAAGACTAAATGCAGATTTGTCTTCAGAGGAGCTGGTATTGTATTAGGTAGCAAGACGGCAAGTTGATGTAAAAGAGATAACTGTGAATGATGATATATTCTAATATATGTGTAATATACTAGAACATGAAATAGCTTATAGTTGGTCTTAAGAGCTCTGATTTAGAAAATTGAATTTTACTGGATAATTAAGAAGGGGCAAAGTTGTACCTGATTTCTCAAAGAAGTTGGTAACAGTTACGGCACAAAGGTTATGGCAGTTATTTGGATGGGGTGAGGGGAGGCAGTGAAGTCCTATTGACAGTGCCTCTGGGAAAATGTGTAAGATTTTGGAATTACAGATAAGATTTATTGGAGTATTTATTGGAGGACGGAGTGCTTAACAGTAACTGGGGGAAATTTGTCAGATAGTACAGTGATTTAATTAAGATGGACTGTAAAAGGTATGAGATGTCATCATATCAGAGAAAGGCGACCTTTAATACCTAGCTAGGAGACCATAATGTGAAGTAGAGACCAACAAATTAACCAGCAAGCTGTAGAAGAGCAACAGGATTTTGTTTAAGTTGAAAACTACATTTAAAACATGTGGCCAAGATGCAGTTGCATTCCCTGTTTTTTATTTCAGAATAAACAAGGGGTAATAAAGGGATACTAGCTTCTTTATTTAGTCAGTATTCTTTCTTATTATTTTCATTTTTAGAAGTAGTAGTAGCAGCAGCTTTCAAAACTAGACTGGTTAAGTGATAGAAGAGAGACTGTAGCAGTTTCTTGTTTTTATTAAATGCAAGCTGATAAACTGGTCTCTGCACTCAAGAATTTTCCAAGTAAACGGAAAAAAGCCAAAACAGACAGTAGAAGCAATGATGTAGGGGACCTCTTCTGTAATTCCGTTTATTGTCAGAGCAAAGTTCTTACAATGTGTAAGATTGGGCAGCTGTCTGCTTAAGATGGCTTTATTTAAATGTGGTATACTGTAATTGGGGATGAGACTCTGGGGAAAAAGCATGGATAATATGTAAAAAGCATATAGGCAGTTAATACTGAAAAAGTGCTGAAAGTTAGTTTGAAAGTTGGCAAGTGTGGTTTGGCCAGTGTTCTCTAACCTGTGTTGCTGCAGCTTTAGTAGTCTTCATACTAGCTGAGGGACAAGGAGTGCCTTGGCTTGGTAAACTTTGTAACAACTCAGGAATTCTGTTTAAGTTTAGGACTGCAAAGATACGTGAGATTAGTTAAGCCTTAAAGCATCAAGTCTATTATTATATGGGTGCCTTACAGGTAGACACATTAGCAGTCATTCTTACTTGAACAACTGTGGTTTTTCTAGGAGAATTTTCATTTTTACGTCTTCTGTTTAGTCTTACATGTGTACAGTGTTTTCTCAGTGTCAGAGTTGCTTGGAAGAGGCAAATACAAATGTGTTAAGTTGTTCAGTAGTAATAATAAAAAATATCCAAAGTCGTCTACTTCAATTGAACATATGTCAATGCACTTAATATTTAACCATTAAAACATAATGGAAACTGAAATTTGTGTATACAGTATAGCTATCCTATTAAACAGTAGTTCAAGTGGGGCCAATAGCACTCTTATCAGCTACTTGGTCTTAATTCTTCAAGTGTAAAAATGGGACTGAAGGTTCCCCACCCCCCCCAGTGGCTAGAAATTGGCACTTCAGAATTTCATGTTACACCACGTGGAAGAGAGGTGGCATTCTTTAATCCATAGTTTACATGCTCATGTTCTGTAGGCTGTAGAGGACGCTTATATTTTTTCATGTTACTTTATTAATGACCTGAAAAATTTCCCATGGGTTTTGCTGTGGTTGGTAAGCTGGCTCATGTCAGCGTATGGAGTTTGTGCCACACAAGTGGTGAGGTACTCTGAAAGGTAAGACTAAAAACCTATGTAGTGATCATTTGGAAATGTCACTAAACATGTAGTCTCTAAAACCACTGACTTTTAAAAACTAGTGAGTTTCGATACCTGGATATTTTTTGGTAAGATTTAAGTTCTTCAGAAGAGATATTTCCTAGTTTAAAAATTGAAATTCTGCCTTTCTCCTGCTTTATAGTTTTCCTCAAAACCTCAGCTGGCTGTGCGTGGCAGAAAGCCTTGCTTTGGCATTGCTCATTGTCACACGCCTCGCAGTGGGAAGGAGGAGAGTAGAAATTCCCAATATTTTAGGATTCATTGCACAAGTACTGTAAAGTACTGAGACCTGCAAAGGTGCAACTGGAGTTTCAAATTGTCCTTAATAATTATTGTGTTTCCAGATACTATTTGGAGAGGGAAGAAAAGGCTTCAGATATGAAAGTTGGGATGTTGCCAGAAAACCAAGGTAGCAGGTCTCAAGTTTTTTGAGGCAATGCAGATTGCTAAAGCTAACTCTCTTTATCATTCAGTAATGTATATTTGTGGGAATAAAATTTAGATCAGCAAAAAAGTTCAACTCAAATTTGAGTAGCTGAAATCCTGTATAGTAGAATTAAAAAAAAAAAAATTGTATCAGTATAAACCAGTTGTTCTGAAAATACTTTGCCTAGCAATTATCAAATATTTCTGTACTGTAAAAATGCATCTCCTATTCCCTGATGTAAGATACAAAAAAGTGAACTCCGTGGATTTATTACTATTTTCTTCCTCGTCAAATAATCTTTGATCTTTCAGATTTTAAAGCTCTTTCGTTCTCAAAACTGCCTTGTATGTTTCTGACTACTTGTAGCCTCTTTCATCAGAAGAAAACGACCACAGTTCTTGTTACAGCCAGTCAGATAGTCAGTATGGTTCTCCTCCAAAGGGTTGGTCAGAAGAGTTGGATGAACATGGTCAAACCTTATATACCAATGACTATACTAATGAAAAGGTACTTTTTCCTTCTTCTCATCACGTGCTCTAAATCTTTTCCAGTAATTCACTGTTAGAAATGCAGATTTCATTTCTAAGTGAAAAGCATACCTCAACAGCATCTCCTTTCATTTTTTAAATATGCATGAAACTTTAGCAACTGACCTGACTTTTTTTAATGTACGTTCTTTACTATTTGGAAAAGGTTTTCTTATGTCCAGTTGGGTATCAGATTATACTAAATGACCATATTGTGTATATGTGTGTGTGTGTGTATATATATATATTTTTTTTTAAATTCCTGCCCTCACCTGTCTGCTTGGTTATACTTTTGTACCAATATAATGTTTTTCTTACTGTCTTTTAAGAGCTGTTCTTGTTTACATAGGCCTTCCAGTTAGGATGGTTTCAAGCTGAAAATAATGCTGCTTTATCAGTTTCATCCTTTACTTTACCAGAGATTTTAAGTACTGCTTTCGGATGTAGACAAACTTCTTGACTAAACTACAGCTGTAGTTTACGGAAGACTTACGTTCTGTTCTAATTATCTAATTGCTGCTGGCAACTTACTGTGATTCTGGGCACATCATAAAAATTTCTCCCATGTAGGATAAATGACAAAATTTGTTTATATTTGTAAAGCAGTCCATTTTCCTAATTGTTCACTAAATTTGTATTTTGTTTTTTTAACTTCAAAAAGTGTTCATTGAAACAGTAGTTTATTGTATTATAGCACCACCTCTTCTCCAGTTGATGTACCAAGGTTTTTTTGAAAGAAAGTTTTAAATAATTGAGTTTTATGGTAGTTTTGGAATTTTATCCTGCTTAATATATTTCTGTTAAACATCTGTAGAGCTTATACCTGTGTTTTAGCAAATATGCTACCTTTTTCTTTTAAATTGCACTGAGATTGATAGAAACAGCATTTCCTATCACAGTTTATTGGAAGGCGATCTTATGAAATCTGCTTGATCCAAGAGCCTTGCTGTGAGTGCTTCTGTGCATTTTTTTGTGTGATCTTAGACTTCTGCTCATTACAATTCTTTCCTTTCTGCGTACCTAGTCACAGTTGTCATAGTTCTACCTCTTTGATTGTGGGAGTTGCTTATAGAGGTCATAGAAATTGTATCATCTTCTTCACGATGTATTTAGGAGCTGTATCTCCTGTTCCTGATGACGTTTTAAAAAGGGATTTGTTCAACAAGTGCAATTATGTCTTAAATTATCAGCAGTTGCTGGTTGAGCTTCTTGTAATTCTGTAATTTCCTGTGTAAAATCCTTATACAGATCTGATGCAAAGATCGTTCCTCCTTAAACTGACACTGTAATGTTGGTAAAAGTGAGATATGCCATCTTCAGAAATACCTGTTTATCATAATCTGTTGTATGATGTTGCAGGACTATTTTCTGAGGAGTTAACAGAAAGAAAAAATGTTAGGGAACCCAATTCAGGAAGCTGAAAACCTTGTTGCTGTCATTGCTAGCTAACCTTGGTTAGTTAATGGAGTTTATGTGCTAGATGCTGCTGAAGTGGATGGCACTTTATTAAAAATTAACTTTAAATCCCTAGTATCAGAGATTTACTATGTTACGACTGTCACTCTGATTACATTTCCTGTCATCACATTTCTTTCTACAGTGGATAAAACACGCAGATGAACAAGGAAGACCATACTACTACAGTGCTGATGGTTCCCGATCAGAATGGGAGTTACCTAAGGTGAGTGACCTAAAAAAGAAACTTTGACAACTGGGGGCTTTCCCCTCCTCCTCCTCTATAAATGTTCTATGGGGCCTTTGATGGGAGTTTTTCACAACAAGAGAACTTACATATTGCATATTTCTTGCATTTTTGTGGAAGTTCTGATTGTGAAGAGAAAAAAGATGTACTTAAGGACATGACAAATGGATGTATGTAACTATTCAGATGTCAAAGAAGATCTTGTATCTTTGCTGAACTGAGCTTTTCATGCAAGGCTGCAGAATAATATCTGTGATTTTGCTGTGGTGAAGAAAACCTCTATAGGAAAAAAAATTTTTTTTTTTTTACTACAAAATGTTCCTGAGAAACTGTAGTCTATTTTTAGTACCCTCCAAAATGCTTATACAGACAAGTGTTGAAAAACTGTGAAACTGATGAAACTTTTGTATCTTTGAGGATGACAGTTTCACTAGAAGCCTGTTCTGGTATTAATTTTGTAATAAAAATAGGTATTTGTAGGAAAGTGACAGAGCTAGGGACACTTTGTAGTCTGAGGATGTACATAGTGCTATTTAATTCTCATTTTCATTTTGCAAAACTATAGGACATTAGTTATAATGATGTAGTTGTATATGTCTTTTCTGCTATTAGGATGTTTGTTCAATCCTACATAGTAAGGTGACCATAAGAAAGAAGTTTTGTACTGAGTTGTCTGCATAAGTATATGAAAGAGCATGTTTCTCAATTACTGTTTCATCAGTCCAAAAATTGTGTCTTCAGTCACTTGCACTTAGAAAGGAGCAACCTTAATAGATGATGCTTTCATAATATTTGTGAGAGAATATTTACATTGAAATTTATGAATGAAGTTGTATATGGGACTGTTTTGTTATGTCAGTAAAAGAATTTGTATCTGATCACTGAAGAGTTAACTTTGTGAATTCTCCTATGTTATTCTGATGTATTAGATAACTTAATTTTTATAACATACATGAACCTAACAATATAATCTAGAACTATTGGTTTTAAAAGCTACTTAGCTATTGATTAGTTATTAGATTAGTTAGAAGTCTGAAAATCCACTGCACCAGATTTTCCCAGAAGCAATTGTGAGTTCAGTATGTATAATTGAAGTTAATTTTGGGGAATAATGTCTTGGGTACTTCATGCTATGACTTCTGCAATGCAGAAAGTCCTGACTGTGAAGAAGTTGCTTTTCACTAAAATAGATTTGGTTTGGATTTGAACTAAATATCAAATTAAGTTGGCTTTAATCCAACTACAGTAAATTACAAAGATAATCCAGAACTTTTACCTGAGGCGTATTAGCATAAAGGGATGGTGTCTAGTAAGTGTGTGTTAGTGGATGATATTCTGGTGGTTCTAAACAAACATCTGAGCTCTGCTGTATTAATAGCCATCTACAGAATGAAACATAGCCTCTGTTTCAGAGTTTGTGATCTGATATACTTTAGTTCTTGTTTATATGGAAATGTTCACATATTCCTGTTACGAATTTTCCTTGAAAATGATTTCTCATGAGCCCTTTGGGCAGAATGTACTCTTTATTCCTTCTTGAAAATAGTAAATCTTGGGTGGCAGCAAATACAAGGTTAACAGAAGTAAATGAGCAATTGACATTTGGATTCGTGATCCAAGAGCCTATGTATTTGCAGAAATCCTCATCTTTTAACTTTAAATGCTGTGGAATAGATTAAATATTTCAGCAAAAGATTTAGGTAGTTTATGTAACTACATATATGGAGAACATACAGCAGAGAGTAATTGAAGCGTGATTGAAGTAATTAGTCTCTTAAAAATCTTACTGATGCTGGTTCCAAAAGTGCTTAGGAACAAAGGAATTGGAAAGACAATGTAGACCGCAGAATGGCTTTGAAAAAAAATAATCTATATTGAAAACTCGCATGAGTGGGGAGAGAAAACCTTAGGAAGACTTCAGCATTGTAGCTCTTTCTTAAATGAAAATTAAGTTACTAGGAAAAACCCCTACTCTTGGTCAGTTTTTTCCCCAATGTACTTAGTTTAAATATTGCCTTCCAAAATTTATTGTGAAATAAAGTGATGGAATAGAATGGTTATGTAGTGCTGTTAAACCAGCAAAATAAGAGAATCCTTTTGTCAGATGGTTCTTAATAATTTGGACTTCATTAAAACTAAAAATCACCTGGAGGTTTCTGGAAATAGCCTATTAGGTGAGCTAATACTGTTCCGTTTAAAATCTTCACTGTTATAGCATTAATTGTAAATGTGAACATGCTGGGGAATAACACTTCCAGTATCCCTGTATGTGTTGTGAGGGTATATGTTGGGGAGGGGAGAACTACAAAACAAATTACTTTAGACAGTCTCATAGAAAGCCTTCCAGTCATGTATATTTAAATAATATCTAGGAATAGCTGAATGCCTCTGGCTAAAAGTGGAGTCTCAGATGGAGTAGTTCTGACAACTGCTGAAAAGTCTATTAAGGCTCACTGAGTGTGACCCAGCTTTTTGCAGTGGAAGAGAAGAACGTTCTGAATTATTATTTAAAAAGGATAATAATGTTTAACCATAATTTGTACTACATCTTGCAACAGACTTTGAGTTTTTTCCTATGCCTGTGCATTCTGCTGCATTCAGTTGTTGGTTCTTGCAATTATTAAAAAAAAATAAAAGAAATAAACTAGCAAATAAAAATTCATTCCTATGTAGATCACTATGATAAAATATGTTTATTTCCTGTGTAGTGAATGAATAATATCTAAATTGTTTTGATTTGCAACCCTATCAGCCCTATTCCAGAAACCTAGTTTTCAAATATGAGTTTTATAATTTAAGCACGTGAGAAATCTTTATTAAAGGGGGGTGTGTGTGTGTAATTTAAATTGATCTCAAGAATGAGAATTGTCTAATTTTTAAAGTTTAAAAAAGGGTAATGTATCAAGATGTCAAAAAGTGAGGAAGACTATGTAATAAGTATTGAATAAGTAGCTCAAAGGGGAGGTGGAGACAACAGCTTAATAAAAAGTGGATATTAATAGTCTCTCAGATTTTCAAAATGTGTTCCTAGGCTGATACCTGGCATAACAGCGTGATGCTTGGCCGTTCTCTGACTGAGCTCTCTGATCCAAGAGTAGACATTGTAATAAAGTGTGTATGCTGTAAGCCTCTGGAGTGAACTCATAGTTTTGGTGTTAATATTTACAGACTGTGATATTGCAATTACACTTTCTCTTCTCAGAAGTTCCTGCAGCATTAGCTTCCCTCACTGTATCCACAGAAGCAGCGCTAGGTAGAGGAGCTTCACTTTTGGCAGTCTTAATAGACCAGCAGTCTGTTAATTCACTCTGTGCATGGTCAGCGTTGAGTATGAGCCTCAATTTTGGTGCTCAGGTGAATGATTTTGCTGCTGGAGACCTGAATGAAACAGAGCATGCTGTCTGAAAAATTATAAAACACAATGCAGGTAATATCAGGAAGATTTCATGCAATCTAATGGTGAAAGAAAATAAAGATGAGAGCATGTAAATAGGGCCTGGTTGTCTCATGGTAAGTTTGTCATGTTCTGAGTTGTGCTACTTGTTTTGAGGTAATATACCATGTGTGGTGGCATTCATATCTGCTATAAGTCAATGGACTGAACAGTATCATTAGCAATAGTGAATCACCTTCACATTCTTGTAACAAAATTTGGGATTGCTTGGCAAAAGTTGAGACAGTTTCAGCTGATGTGAGTATCTAGATTTTTTTTTAAAGACAAAAATACAAGTGATATGACAAACCTGAGGTAAGTATGAGAAGGCAGTCAGGTTTGTGGTGTTTTTTTTTTTTTTTTTTTTTCTCTTTAATGTTGTGTGTATTTTATTTGTACTCAAGAGACCTGGTCTGGTCTTCCTCATTTGTCCTGGTGTTTGGTGGTTCCCACCCCCCTCCCCTCCTCCCAAATAAAATGAGAGGAGGGGAAAAGTGCCACAGCAGGTTCTGTGGCAATCAGTGCTGACTTGGAGCTCTTTGTCAAAGATCAGCAGTCTTAGTGATCCTGGGGGCTAGAAGGTGAAGCAATGGATGTCCAAGGCAGCAAAGTGAACAAAGTGGGTTATCCAGCAGTGTCTTTCAGTCACATTTGAGATAGAGCTGCTTGTCCTAGCGGTCTCCTTGTTCTGCTTAAGTTCTCTTCCTTCAGTACAGCTGATGCCTCCAGCTGCTGCCACCTGGAAGTCCTATGGCAGAGAATAATGAATCTTTTTCCTAGAGAAAGAAAGAGTGAAGTCTTTAAAAAGACACTGGTGTGGGTTGTTTTTTTTTTTTTTTTAAATGTATGTAGGTTCCAGAAAAATGTGTTACTGATCTTGTTAAGAAGAAAAGCAAAAGCTGTAACATAGGTCTTATGTCTATCGCAGTGCCAAACCAGTTTATTCAAAGCTAGTGACAATGGTAGCACTAAAGGGTGGGTTTGTTCGGAGGCAATATTTAATTATTTTTTTAAAAAGGGCTTTGATTTCAGGCAGTCTGTTAGCACAACTGCACATAACCTGGTAGAGTGTATAAGGTGCTAAAAGGTACTGGGATATCAGAATATTTTTAAATGTTGCTGTTGTGATCTTTGATTGCAAGAAGGGAGAGTAAAATGCTTAAGTTGGGTCTTTACTAACTTTCACTGTCTGTTGCTTCCCATTCTTTTATCCCTTTACCCACTCAGTTCCTTTCATCTGTCTGAGGATGTTGTTAATGCAACCAAGAAGAATCTTTTTTTCTGTTTCTTAAAGTTGACAGATCTGTGTCATCTCCATAAGAATGGGGACAACTACAAATAACTTGGAGGTCTTACATTTATTTCAGTCACAATTAGGCTAGGACAGAGCCTTGAGCCATGCCATGTTATCAGGTTAAAATTAAATATAAATCGCTTGGCCAGCTGAGAGGGTTAGAAAATTTTATACTGAGGCAAAGAAAGCTTTTAAGTAGCTACTGAACAAAGTAGCTGTTTGAACAAATTCAGCAATGAAAATAACCCTGTGTGACCTAAATTTACCCCACTGGTGTCCTTACCCTACGCCAAGAGGTGTTATAACAAGAAGCCTGTGTTCCTTGGTGCATGCAGTAAGAGTATGAACTCGCTTATGTCCGCCCTTCCTGATAGGAGATGCTCCCAATGAAATGGGGAACAAATTGAGATGATGTGCTGGAGGGGTTAATTTAATGGGACACATTTGAGTTTGTGGAGGATTTTTCAAGGAGCAGTAGTGTGTCTGTTTGGAGTTGTGTGCTACATTATCAAAAGCTTTAGAATTAAGGAAATAACATTGCACCCTAAGGTGGTGCTATTAAGGCATGTGGTGTAGCAGAGATCATCCTACCAGGCAATGTGTAGTCTTGAATGGGTTGGTTTTATTGCAGTGTGTGGCCCTTGCCTGATCTCTGTCTTCAAGATTACACCAAGGCTTAGGCATAGAAAGCCTGCTTAGAGTTATGTAAAAATAAGTTTTTGCGTGAGGGAAGGAGAGCCCAACATGTAATTGTAAACGCCTGTGGGAGAGGCAGCAGCTCTGCAGGTGGGAGTGTCAGTAAGTGACTCTGACCTGCAACTGTTATGCAAGGCTTTTTGAGCTGAGAAGATTGAGTGGGGGCAGACCAAAGAGTAGCAGGGGTGGTGTGATCAGACCTGGCCAGGCTACTGGCTCTGGCTACTTCCCTGTAGCTGGTGGACTCTACCTGATCTAGAGGGTGTCTAGTTCAGTTGGATAATGCAGAGTCTGAAAGTGCGTATCACTGTGATTCTCTTTGGAGATCACAGATCAATCCATTTATTTTAAAAGTGGAGGCTTGCCTGGAGCCCAGAAATATGTAAGCTTCCTTCACCCCCCGCCAAACACCAGAGTGAAAATGTTTACTTGATGCCTCTATTGTGAGAAAATGGGGTAAAAATGTCAAATGTTCCCTTTAAAGATTTGTCAGTTTACTAACACTGTTTGTATCACCAGTGCAAATTATTTAAGCTGCTAAGATGCATATAGCTCAGTGTTCCTGAGTTGTTAGCAGTGCTTTGTTAATGAACTACATATGCTGTTGCTTTCTTTCTTGTTAAATATGTTTTGTAAAACTAGAATTTCTTGTTACTTTACAGGCCCTTTCTCCTTCAAGATGGGGTTGTCTGTTAGATAAGTTAACTCCTGATGGCTTGTGATGGTATCAAAGGCACCTTTTAAATATAGATCACCTGTAATCTATATGGGCTGATGCCCATATCCTAACTCTTAACATAGACTTAAATGCAAGATAAATTACTTTAAGTCTTTGAGTATTTAAACTTAAATTCATTGTTACTCAAATGGAAAGTGCATGGAGGATTTTCATATATAATATTCATCAGTGTCACTGAAGTGTGAATCTATTTCTGAAATAAACGGTTGTGTTTCATAGCAAGAAATATTTTTGGATTGCCCCCTTAAATGCATTGGAACTGCTGCAAGGGACGCTGTTTGTGGCAACCATCTGCAATTTAGACATAGTTTCACTGAAAATTGTTTAGATTTTAGTTGTAATATGGGCAGGCAATTTTGCTGTGTGTTGCTTAGCTTGCGGCCACAGTTTAAGTTGTAGGAACATCTGCAGAATGGATATTTCCACAACGAGAAAGTAAGCTAGTGTTAGATTCCTTGCAGCATGAATGATGGTTCAGCTTCTGGTTTAACAAGGGGACAGACAGAGTTGCTTAAACCTCACCGTTGTGAGGAAGCAGTTGTCACGTGAGGGTAAATGTGCTGAACCCAACACAGAATCAGAGCAATCTCAGAACTGAATTTCTGCAGTGATATTTCTGTCTCTACATGAACTACCAAATTTTATTCTCAATACTGCAAGATCTAGTCACCTGGGAGTATTTTACTGCTCTTGTGCATATTGAAATAATTTAATGAAATACGGAAGTTATTTACCTTTTAAGCTTCTATTGACTTACTGGAGCATTAGCTCTATTCTTAGTAAAATACAAACCTAACACAAGCATGGTGTCTGCCATGGCACTAGTAATGGTAGTTCTTTATTTGGGCAATAAGTATACCTGTATTATGCGATTTAGCGTAAATCCAGCATTTATGTTATTTAGGTTAAACCTTGCCATGCTTCATTGGTATGTGTGGGTATAGGTTATTCTGTCTTTGAAGACCTGAGGCTCTGAGCTTACAATAGGAATCACAGCAAAACTGTAGAATTCGGTGTGCTTGCGAAGAGTGTTGTGTTAGCCTTTTTAAATAAAAAAGGCACTTGACTTTCCTTTGTTACTTCTGACCCAGTGGATTCTGGTCCTTTACATGACTCCGTAAATGCTGCCTTGTGTTTCTGTGTGCAGACTTTGGTCTTCTGATGCTGAACAGAATGAGATTTTTAATGATTTAAAAAACCCTGTACATTGATGTTGTCTTTTCTTGTTTGTATTTTCAGTATTAAACTTTGAAATATTTCTATAATTCTTTGTAATGCCACCTCATTGTTGGTGGTGATGATTTAAAGTGGCAATGCTACAAATGATAACTATGCTGCAATGCTGAGATCTAATTAAATGCTGGGTCCTTCTCATGACCTTCACATTTTCTCAGCCTGTACATCTTTGGATGCTCTGGAGTTACAGGAAAACTGATGTTATGATAAATCAATTCTCTCCTTGGTTATTATGGCTCTGCTGAGTCTTAAAATTATGTCCTGCTAAATATTTGTTTTCTGTGCTTATGTACATTCCACAACAGCAAATCCTTTTACAGGTAATTTGATGTGATCTGAAAAAATCAAGTTCTCATACTCGTGTCTCCCCTCCTAGACATCCCAAACCTTTGGATCAAAGACAATCATATCCAGGCAATCATAACTCTTGCTGCAGGATAACAGGGTTTTCCTTTTCCTACACAAGAGCTGGCCAGGTGATATAGTACTGTCAGTACAATGTGAACAGTGAATGTTTAAATCTTGTATTTATTAATATTCCTTGGTGGTTCTCAATATGGTGGTTGGCTGCAAAACTTGCAGTAAGCTGTTGCACAAGAAATCAAACCTCTATCTGCCAATGGAGAGTATTATCCCAACAGGCCAGTCTTAGTTACTGCCTTGAAGAGGACTACAGCAGAAAGGACAGTTCTGAAGACTAAATGCGAAATAAAACCAAGGCTATTTTCACACCCATGGGTGACATCAGGAATCTGAAAGTTTGCACTGTTAAGGTGTATGAGTGGTATGTCCAAGTCTTGTTTGCATGAATTAGATCCTACTTATAGTTTGATTTTTCTCTTCTGTAGTATAATGCTTCACCACAGCAGCAGAGAGATATAATAAAGAGTAGGAGTCTGGACAGGAGGCTACAAGAACCAATAGTTTTAACAAAATGGAGGCACAGCACAATTGTGTTGGACACCAACGATAAGGTAGGAGCAAGTTAAACAGCATGCTGGAATACCAACTGTTTCTGATGCATGAAGTATTAATCTAACAGAAATGAGTATGCATGAATTTCTGAAATCTCATTTTTCTTATATTCTGTTATATCATTGTGTATAACATTCATCAAAACCAATGGCTGTTTGATACTTTTACTACTGTCACTTTGTGAGTAGTAGCTCTCTTCTTGTTATCCTTGAAGTATTTTAACTAGTATGAGTTAGGGGTTTGGCATGTACAGCCATTTTACTATAATTGGGAATCTCCCAATTCAGTTTAGGCTATGAAATATAATTAGGATTTAAATTCAAGAATTATAGATGTGGATGAGGTTCTCATGTGTTGTGTAGTGATACTTCATGCCTGAATGCTTTAATTGTAGGAAACACGAAGTAGGAACACACTTGAAAGATTGCAGATGACTAATGGAAATATTCTTAGACTTGAAATAAAAGTTGCACTTGCTAAAGTAAAAACTATGCCTTAAAGATGTAAATAGTAGTATTATATAGTGGAATTATCCCTTTTATGACTGTTCTGTTGATCTCCACTATAATATCTCAAGGAAAGAGGAAAAGCTTTGTGTGGTTACAGCAGGGTTGTAGTATTGTTACTGAAAGACAGAGGACAGTACTGACAGTGCTGAAACACTTGGCTTTGATCCTGTCCAGAGCTAAGCTGGGCGTTCAGTCTGAAAAGAGCTGCGGGTCACTAACGTCAAAAGCTGTTTCCTGCCCGTTCTTAGGGCATGTGCTTGATAGTCCGTTTTGAGCTATAGAGTAACAGATGCTGTTCAGGACAACAAGGAGACAGAGCCTCTCCCTTGCTCTACATCTGCCTGTCGCTCTCCAGTTTAATTTTTGTCCCACCTGTTTCTGCTTGGACTGGGACATTCTGCCCGTGGGTGAGGAGAGTTGATATGAGCTGAGTGGGGAGGAACTGAAATGGGTGTTAGAGGGTGGTGACTTGCTGGTTTCTGTAACTTCGAAGTATTCCATCCCGAGTTTCATGGAACCTGAAATAGCGTGTAATGCAGAAATCTTAGCACAGACTACTCAGAACGAGATACCAGGAAATGACATTCTAAGTTCCCTTTTTCTAATGATACAGGGGAAAAATGAAATTAATGTAGGTTTGGGAGTGTGGAAAAAAGCCTGTAAGTGGGCCTGTGTAATCACAGATGTCAAAGACAAAGTTAAATAGACAAAACACAGAAATTGTAATGAAAATGGATCTACTACCCAGAATGTTACTTGCTTGACCTGTTGTTTCCGGTACGTTTTAATGGCTTTCCTTGTTGAAGTAGGGTATAGGAGAGTGGGTTGTCATGACTTGACTTAGTTCCTCAGAACAGGATTTATTGGATTTGATCTTAAGCTTTTGAGCTGTCAGTTTAGAATATATCATACCGTGGTGCTGAGGAGGCAGTGGACTGTGCTTGGCTGGAGACTTTGCACCTGCATGCATTAGTTTAGCTGGAGTGATTCTGAGGTCCCTCTGCTGCTCCTTTCCCCTCCTTACTCCTCCTTACGCGTCCTTCTATATCCAGTGTGTTGTGGCACTGCATGAGACAGCCGAGACAGAGTCCTGATAAATCAAAGCTGAGTGGACACTTCCAGCCTCATGTGCAGTTTACACTTCACAGGTTTGAACAGTTCCATTGGACGTTGCTTAAAGTTTTGGCCTCGCTTTTGAAGGAAGACTTATATTTTTTTTATTTATTTTTTTTGACATACGATTTTCTTCTGTTTTGGAATGACCTTTACATAGTGCTGCACTAAATGAAGAAACTCTTGTAAAACGTTGAATACCTGGAGCTGTTGACTTTTCTTCAAGACCCAATGTTCAAATACCAATACCTTAAACCTAGTGAAGCAAACATAAAAGTGTACAAATACCTGGTGTAATAACTGAAAGAAACTGTATATATGAGCCACATTTGTGAAGTCTAAATCAGTAGCTTAAAAGTTCCTTTAACAGCTTGAAAACATGCAATCAGCATTCATTTCTTAATGGTAAAGAGACTATATAGTTCCTATAAAGCAGGATGTTAATGCTTTGAGAAAATTGAAGCTGTGTAGTGGAACAATAAACTAGTGTTTTGTGGAAAGACAAAATTTTAGTGCATTGATGCACCCATTTTATTGCCACTGACAGGCATGCTGTTACATATTCTGCTTTAAATTAGTATGTGGAAAGGGAATGATCACAAATACTGGATTTCTTGTACCAGAGCTGCGTAGAGTATGAAAGCTATCTCAAATGCAGAATTAAATAGGAAGAAGAACAACTGATATTTTTCTGGATAGCCACACAGACCCCAAGTTAGCTTTTTAGCTGACTCCTAGGGAAGCTATTTTCTGTTCACTTTCTTTATTTGTTTTTCATGGCGAAACCAACACAACTCAATTATATGAAAACAGGCCAGTCAAAAGAGTGCTTGAAATGTGTTGAAGTGAAAGTATGGGTTGCCATGGCTGATGAGAATTTGATGATATCAGACGTACTTGTTAAGTGATTACTGGCTGTGGGACATATCTGTATATAGCCATCAGCTAAAAAGTTTGTTAAGCAGAGGAAAAGATACCTTCCGGAGAGGAGCAACATTGATTTCCTTAATTTGAACATTTAAATTTTTTTTTTTTCTCTACAGATACCTGAAAATATGGAACATTTAGGCTGTACTTAGGATAGCTAGTGTTCTCTTAGGATTGCTAACGTTCTCTGTTATTATATTACTAAAAGAACTAGTGGGCTGCTTCTGTAGGTAGATTTACAAGTGAGTTTTAAAGCATGGGTGTGCTGGGTGTTACGTAATGCTGGAAAAGCAAACTGAATTTGCGAGAGCTGTCAAGGGAATTAAAAAAGGGAGGGGGAGAAATGTGTTAACAGTAGCAGAGGACAAGTGACGTTTTTCTTCTGTTTGAAATTCTTGACGAGATTTTCAAGTGGTGTATTTGTGCAAAGCCATCACCGCTTCAGAGGAAGCGCACATGCCATTTTTTTGTTCCAGATGGGCAATTTTTCTAGTTTTCAAAGATTTAGTACTTTCTTTTGGTCTGTAGTTAACATCTAGTTTAAAACAAAAACCTGAATCTCTAGAAATTTTCAGTGCTTCATTATAAGGAAATTACAATAATGACTCACAAAAACTAACAGAGCTGGTATGTGCTTTTCTACTTGTATAACAGTTCATTGTACTAACCTTATATTTACTAACCATGCAGAGGCTTAGTATGGTCTTTAAAATCTTGGTATTTATTATATGATGCCCTGTAATAAGTTAATATTATAAATGTGCTTTATAGTTTGATAGCAATGTCATACAAAAAATCTGCCCATTAATAAGGATGAAAGCTTTGCTTTAAGCTGATGCTGTATGTATTAACATTTTTTTTTCAAATGGATATGTGCTAATTAACTCAGTTTGAATGTTGTCTATAAAATTTGTAAGAACACTGTTTAGTAAGCACATTTATAATATAACTATCTGAGAATATAATGAATGATTTAAAAAAGTACTTTTTTTTTCTTTTATAACGTGTGAGTGTGTATATATAGAGAAAGTATCGTTAGGGTTAAAAAATTAAAAGAATTGTAAGAAAGATAATAACTTATGTTGTCTATTTGAATTTTATAGGAATCATCAACTGCTTCTAAGGCCAGTTTTCCTGAAAATGAATCCTCTCCTTCTTCACCAAAGCATCAAGCCACAGTCAGTATGCAAAGTGTTTAAATAGATAAGTAGATGTTGTAGAAACTGGGCTATTCATGATTAGAGAATTGAGGGTGTAAGCCTGCTTGTTACTGAGAAAAATAATGGGACAAAACTATTTAAGGCTTTACATTTTAGGAGGAATGCATTGCATCCAACTGTGCTTTCAGAAAAAGTGTACATGTCTTTGGATTAAATTCAGTTTGGCGATAGCAGATTAAGTTAATCTGTGGAATAAAGTTATGTCAAATTATGTAGAGCTCTGTTTACTTCTTCCAATAGTCACGTCTTCTCTCATAGCAACTTGGAAGAAACAGACTCCACCTCTCCACAGAATCTTTCATTGTTGGTAGTAGTTTGTAGTATTCGATATCTTTATTTTTTACTCGTGTTTCAGTCTCCTTGAAAAGGTGTAGAGGACTTGGCAAAAATAAACTATGTATTTTTGATTTAGTAGAATAACTACTGGGAGGAAATTGTAAGCTTATTAAACTCGTTATGAATGTTTAACAGATTTTTGCTCAGTTTATATTTTAAATGTGATCAGTGCTTCTTAAACAATGGGGAATAATTTTAAAAGAAGGTTTTTTCTTTCTTTTTTTTTTTCCCCCCAAAATTTCAGACCTGTGCTACAGTAATGCTGAAATATATGCCTTGATCAATATTAGCAACCCTTTAGTGTGGGTAGCTCAGGGTATTAAACACACAACTCTTGTTTCATTCTTACTCTGTATGCAGAGGAGGGGTTCTCTGGTGTATTCATGTTAATCCATTCTTACAACTCTTCGGTTTTCCACGATGGAATAAATATTGTTTATTAAGCCAGCATAGTTGGTAGCCTTACAAGCAATTATTGCTGCATGTATTCTAATTTCTTTAAATATGGGTCAGACCTTGAATTCTTAAAATTGTATTTTGTAGAAGAACTTACTGCTGTGTTAGATGACAGAAAACAGTAATCTGTATTTTCCTTAGTTGTCCCCTTGGACTTAAGTATTACAAAGAAAGCTGGTGAATTTTTGTATATTTTGATCCTTAACTTCCTTTCCACTTTCTCTTCCTTGATTATATTAACTTTCCCATTAGTACCCCCTAGTGTTGCTGCTAAGTAGGGCATTATGATACTTTTTCTGAATAATTCTTTTCTGGAGCATTCCTACCGGATCCACCTTGAGTAACTTATTAAAACTGTAATTTATTTGAGAAAGTGGGCATGAGTTGCTCAGTTGTTGTGAAAGATGGTGACAGGCCATTCCACTTAATAAAGGCAAAGGTTTGTTAGAAGGGTGCAATGCATAGGACTGTTAGTGGTGGTCTGCATGGATCACAAATAAAGTAAGCTAGAGAATGGGATGATTTTTTTGGGGGGGCAGGGGGTGTTGGGGAGGGAAGTGACTCATCTGTTGAAAATACCAGTTTTAGAAAATAATGTATGTGTCACTGGCTTGGGAAAGCATTCCAGCCCAATGGAGAGATTAGATTGAGTAAGAGTAGAAATTACTGTTGACTGAAGTAACATCTGAACCACCAGCTTAATGCTATTGTCTTAGAAAAATGTCTGTGTTTTGTGCTGCGCTTGAAACATGTAGGTAGAATTTTTAAAGTTAATGAAAAACAGATCTATGTCTTTGGTAAGAGTGTGGTCACAGTATTCCAGCAAAAAAATCTCTTCAATGTTGTATTGGGCAGTTATGGTCCAGTTAAATTTGAGATTTAGAGGAGAATGCTGAAGAGATTGTACCTTCTATTTTCATTGGACCTAGAATTGAGGACATCTTTGTTATGATAAAAATAACTTGTATCCTTTCTCTAGTTGATTGTTTCAATTAATAGCTTAATTCTTAAATTAGGAACTATTACAAGCGGTTACTGAAAGGGAATTGATTAAAAAAAAAAATATTCCTTTAGCACCATTCGCTGGTAGGACAAGGCTAGGGTGACAGGAGAAAATGATAGAATTTATCTCATCTTGAGAGTGACAAATGATAAATTGATGGGTTTCCTTTTTATCCTAGAATATTTTTTCAAACATTCCTTTATATTTTTTCAAACATTCCTTTATATTTTATTATTTTTGCATCAAAACCAGAAATACTCCAAATATTTGAAACTTGCAAATAACTTTCTTGTTCAGTGGTGTTCTTTTTCCACCGTTCACTGACTGATCTCCAAATTTATACAGAGGCATACCAATATAAATGATTTTCATCAACAAGACATAACTAAGTAGTTTAAAATTCTAATATTTTGCTCGGGGATAGGAAAAAGCAGGACATCAAAGAAATGTTTCACTCATCTGGTTTTGAAATGAGTATGTTAATATTTTTGTGCATTTCAGCCATGTTTTATTTAAAACACAAAATTATGTTAAAATAACTTGGAAGAATTTTGGCAGAGAATTTAGGCTGTTTGTTTGTCAACCATCTCCTCCTTTAATAAAGGACACCAACACAAATGTGCTATTACACAAATCATGATAAATTTACATTTAAAATTTCCACTGTCTAGTACCACAAATGTTTTAGTTTGGCTTGTCCAAAGAACCTAGGCCTTGAAGGAAAGCTTTTTACCCTCTGAATGATAATGAGTACTTTCCCAGAGGAATTTTGATTTTGCTGATCTCTGCATATTTAAATATACTTAAGACAGTTTCTTGAAATTATAACATGGGCAAAGATGGCACATTGCCAGAAATTGATTATTTGAGGGATCGAATTTAGTGCTATGATGCTGTATAGTAGTTACGTCTTAGTCTCTCTTACAGGGTCAAGAGAAGTATGGGTTACTGAATGTGACAAAAATTACAGAAAATGGGAAGAAAGTTCGGTAAGTCTTGGACTTGTACATGTGCATAAGGGTTTGTGTAAGGTACATGATTTTTTTTTGCATTAGGGCTGCATACTGCATTTTGCAATTTCTTACTTTATGTCTGAATTTGCCTTAGAGGTTTTTGTGTAGGACACAGCATTTCCTTATCCCAAAGTATGTGTTTCTTCCAGTGAGCTAAAGATAATGGATTTCAGAGACCCAGAGGCTCATGTATGCCAGGTCTCCACACAGGGCAGTGACTTTATGAAGGTGTACAGATGAGACAGCTATTTAAAAAGGGATTTAATTTATTTAAGAGAAAATCTGTATAGCATATAGCCTGTCTTTGTACATTGGATATAATTGTTGTAAGAGGTGCTTTCAGAGTTCCACTTCATCCCCTTTAATTTCTAAGGAGTGTACATGTCATGTGCTCCTTAATGCTTCCTTCACTCTGCTTGTGAAGGGTTTGAAGCAGAATGTGTTGCCCAATGTTGGTCTCCCCGTGGGTGATGAATGACCTCATTTCTAACTTTCTCTGCCTCTCAGGCAGACATTACATTATAAAACATAATGTATAATCGAATAATGCTGTCTAACTTACATTTCTGGTGTTTTGCAAAGAGTCAGTGTTGAATACTGCCTAAGTGTGGCACAGCCTCAGATTTAATTTAGGTTTACTTTTTACTTTTTCTAATTTTAATTTTTTAAATTTAATCTTTTAGGTCTAATACTGTGTTATATCTAGTTCAGTGTTTCCCAGACTTTGGATAAATGAAGAGTGCTTTTCCTCAGGATTAAAAAGTCAGCACCCAGCTAATATTCCAGAGCCACCGTGACCTAGTCGAGTGCAGTCGGGCAGCACATCTGACCCCCAGTTTGGTTCCTATGAGTTTAGTAGGAAAGGGTGGACAGTGGCTCATGTAAGCTGCTATTGATAGTGTATACTCTGACCATTTATGTTGCATCTGTCAGAATCATTGATCTGGATGATGCATTGATCCTATTGCACTGCTGTACAAAAAGATGCAACATGGCCGTTCTGTCACTTTGAGAGTTGTTGAATAATAATTTGTGTTTGGGGCAATGGGAATAGATTGTCAGGGCTTGTCAAGGCTTACTTTTTTAACCTCAGGAGGACAGATACTTAGGCATAAAAGCAAATAGTCAGTCAGCTGGAACAACTCATTTGTTCTTTTTCTAGATTTTTGAGATAAGTAGCTAATATTTTATTGCCAATGTAAAGGAGCTTATTACATAAATGTGGGACATTTGCATCCCAGTTAGATGTGATCAATCAATTTCAAAATTATGCAGTACTTCGGTATAATCTACTAAGTATGCAGTAGGTTGAGCGTTCCAGATTAGCCCCTTTGAAATTATAATTGTATGGTGTTTCTCTTGGTGAACTGCTTTCACCGCTAATTAGCTTTGTTTGATTTAGACTTTGATGGTCAGGCTGGGACTGTTAACATATGTTCCCTTCTACAAATATGATACCAATTAAGACTTACTGATGGCACTAATGACTGTATATATGGTTAAATATATTAACATACAAGTCAGCTGGGCAACAGTGATCGACGGTTTAAATGTCTACTTTCAAAGTCAATTAATCTTATGTTTGTTTACAAATATTTACAGAAAGAATTGGATGTCATCTTGGGCAGTGTTACAAGGTTCGTCACTGTTGTTCACTAAAACCCAAGGAAGTGGAACTGGCTGGGTAAGCTCAGGAACAACCCACGCTCTCATTTAAGTGTTAATCACATAAAGCACAGTGAATTAAAGCCCTCTTATTTGTAGGGCTTGAATACGGATATGCATGTGCAATTTAGAAAAAAATAAGTGTGTGTAAGTTAGCAGGAAAATAGTTTAATGTACCAATTATGGTTTAGAATGAGAAGAAAACCAGTTGCATGTTCTTATATTTCAGAAACACTTATATATTTGATAAGTAAGAAACTGATGAAGAGGTATTCAGGTACCCTGTAAGCTTGACAGTTTTGGTCCAGGCCAAATATTTTTGTGTTCCTTACTAATGTGTTCATCTAAACAGTTTGTTGTACTATTCTTGGATATTTTTTTCATAAAGTCCAGGTAATTTTGAATGTGATACATGTAATAAGAAAATAGTCTGACACTTGGCTTGTTGCGTTGGACAATTTGAATAATGTAGTATTGTTGTCTATCATTTAGTCTTTGCCTTGCTGGATTCTGTATTTTGTTTTAAGTCTGCGTAGTGCATGGCAAGTGTTTGTATCTATTTTGATGTCTGATGGAGACATAAAGAGAAACATCACACTGAAGATGATGATTATTCAATTTTTATATCACCTCTAGTTTAATAGCACTATGATGAAATTGGCTGTATCCATCCAGCTGCATTCCTACATGAATACGTATAGAAATGGCTCTATTTACAGCTTATTTGCCTACTTTTGGAGGTCTGATGTTAAACTGTGTGGATCTCCTGTAATAACTAAAGAGAGGTCAGATTCAGTATTTGTTATTCCAGTGTGTATTACCATGCGAATTAGAGCAAAATTGTATCTTGCAGATATATGCTATCTTGCTGTGCTTCTTTTTGGGTAGAGAATTGGTATTGACAATTCTTCTCTAAAGCGTCAAGTTCATTTCAGAGCTATAAACATCATTTTTTTTGTCCTTCTGTTGCTGTAGAAGGGATGATTGGAAAAAAAATGGGTGAGGATGGATAAATAACAACGTTTAGGGTAGAAGAGAATGGAAAAAGAAAGTTGGGCAAGGTGGTCAAGCAAAAGCAAAAGAGAAGGGAAGGAAAAAGAATAAAGATTAAAGTTTGAGATAAGGTAAACTATGCTGTTTGATAGGAAGCAGACTTGGTGACTTCTGCAATTTACTCTTATAGCTAAGGACCCAAAAAGTACTTTAGTTTTCTACATATAAATATGCATGTTTGGAAGGTAAAACATTTTGGCTGAGTAACTACTCGAGTCCAAAAACTAGATTACAGCTACTAATACTCTTAATCCAAATGTAGCTGTAGATCAAACCCCTGTTATTTTAACTATATCTTGATATCCTTAAAACACATCGTGCTAAACTAAGATACTGCTTATGAATGTGTGATACTGTTATGAAGGAATGTGTGCCCAAATGAATTATCCATAAAAGGTAATCATGCCACTCTGCCTATTGCTTAGGGATACTAGTGTAAGTTGTGTTACACCTTCCAAATGCAGTAATTTGGTGGAGGAGGAAAAAAAAAAAAGGCATAAATTCTTTTGGTAATTTAAGTGGAGCAAAAGTATCATAGTCACAATATTTCTGTGCAGCACTGTCAGATATGTCAGTACTGTCAAGTATTGGAGTAGAGTCAGCAAAATAAATATCAACAGTATGAACAGAATAAGGTGAAGCTCAAAATATTAAGGACAGTCTCTTTCAAGGACTTTGTGTTGTATATCTGCATGCTCACAGTTGGCTTTGTAAATACATAATTAAATATTCAGCACACACTCTTTGCTGTCTGTGTTGGAAATTTTTTTGGGATGTTAAAAATTCCACCTCACCTCTCAAACCGTGATTTGTGTCAGTGTATTAATAAGGTGAAGTAAAGTCTAACAGTTTGACATATGATAAGAATTAATTTCTTCATCTTATGAGAAGAATATTTGTTTAGCATTCATCTAGTGATTGAGATAACCATATCTTTTTTTTGTACTTTGTTTTGTGACTTCATCACTCTTCCTTTTTCTCATCAAGTCATTTTGCCAAGGGGGCTCAATTCCTGAGCTCTTGCTCTCGCTGCTTTCTTCTTGGAAAAATGCTCTCAGTCGTCGACCTGCTGTCACCTATGTAAACTCTGACCAAGTTTCAACTATCACTGTATGTGTTCTTGTTGCATGCCTCTTGTCACTGTAAGGCTATTTGCCACTAATCTTGAAAGTAAATTTGAATTTTTCCAAGGTTTAAGTTTTGTCACTTCATATAACACCTTGTGTATCCTGTTTGCTGTTTCCTGAAAGTCTTCCAAGGTGCAAATTAACACAAGTGTATTGCAATAATCTTGTAATTGTTCTAATGGAACAAAGTAGAAAGAGTATCTCGTTCATCAGTGCCAGAATTTTAATCCCAAATTTGCTTATTTGAACCACTAGTGTTTTGACTAATAAACAGCATGATATGGTCAATTTTTTTAACAGATACTTTATGCCTAATTCTTCCTAACACAACTAATTTAGGATGTTTGTAAGGTGCCTATGATGCCTTTGATACAATGATGTACATGTTGTTGGTTAATTCTAGCTATAGTTGGAATACCCCAAAATGTAAATGTTATGCATAAAGAACTGAAAGGAAAAGAGTTCAAGGATGTCATGGCTATATGTCACATACAGAAAGCTGATATGAATTTGTAGGAGACTTATATATAAATTTAAGCGTCTGAGGTTAGTTACGTTTTGAAGTGTAGATGCCAAGCATAGAAGTGCTGCTTATCAGATACTGATAAAATATTGGTAGCTAATATGGCAGCTTGTTGCTCAAGGTGGATGAGGAGGAATTTAGATAATGATGCTAGTGTTAGAAGGAACAAACAGGCTTGAGTGGTCATATGACTGGTTTTTAATATCACTTTCTCAGCATTCTTATCAGAATCAAACTAAAGCTTTCATGAAAAAAATCATATGCTGAAGACATTAAAAGCAATGTTTCAGTTTGACAACTTGAGGATTTTAAAGTCGTGGTGTTTAAAACTATTTTGGTATCTTGGTTTGTATTTCCTGAAGAGTGGAGAAAGACCTACGTGTTTTGAGTTTAGTTAAGATTCCTGAGACTTCTAGAATGAGTTTTGATGACCAGTACCTTAATTTTGTATTTTATATTTCCTGTAGGAGGGGAGTAACTGTAGGCTTATTCAATTAACCTTGTGCTAAAAATGATGCAAGTGCCTTTTCTTTGTCTGTCAAATTCATTGCTATGTATGTGGAAGCCTGGAACAGATAATTTGTACCCGATTTGGTATCCTTTAAAATGCTACTTTCTATAAGGAAATCTGGATTTTTAAAATACGTCTTTTCACAGAAATTCAAATTTTCAACTGTTGAAAGAAGGTGTCTCTCAACTTTTGATGTGAATGAGTTGTAATAGCTATTGCCAGATTTTAGTGATGTGGCTTCATAAAACATAGCAAATGGTAACTGCTTAGAAGGATTCATCTGTCAACCTTCTCTAATAGGTTCATGTCTTCAGTGTCGACACTGAGTGTACAGTGGTGGTAAAGTGAGTAAACTTCTGGAAACACCAAGGAAATAAATGCTCTTCAAAGGTCATCTGGGCAGTCTCTTGTTTACTGTGTTATACCACTGCGTTTATAGCCAAGCGTGTTATAGGTGAATTACAGTTCATCAATATTGCACAGCTGATATACAGGAGCTCAGATGATTATCATGAGAACTATTTGGAATGCAAATACTCCTATGAGTATGGTTTCAAAAAACTTACATCATTTTGCTATGACATAAAGGACACCTTTATGTTTTTCTTTTTTTTGTTAGAGCTGTAAGTTCTGAAGCTCCTCTACCAGCCACAAAGGAGCATCTGTCTCCTCAGCTCTATTTCTACAGTCCCTCTGAGGGTGAGAGGGACTTCAAATTAAAACGTTCTACCCAACTCTAATTAGAAACAGAATTACGAGAATGGCAGGTGTCGTTTGTACATCTAAAGTCTTCCCATAAATAGCATCCAGTTCTGGCTCCAAAGAACACTGGAATATATCACAATACAGGCTATGTGATTTGTCCTGTGGAGGCTTCCAGGACTTGGAGAAAACTCCTGAAAAGATTGAAAAATCCTTCTATTTATTGATGTCAGCACTAAAGTAAAAAAAACCAAACGCCTGTTCTTTCCAAAAAGTAGAAGTTCTCTGCCATGTAACTAGCGTAAGCACATCCCATGACTGTGCATTTTTCCTAGAAAAAGCTGTCAGAAGTGACTCTAGGACAGCCGATAGCACCGTGTGTAGACCTCTCTCTTTCTGTCTTACACTGCTGCCCTTTCCAAACTACCCAGACAGCTTAAAAGAGAAATCCAGTAAGAATAAGGTGTCTGCTCAGTAAGAGCTGAATTTATCCCAACTAGTGCTGACTTGGTAGTGCATTCTGTTTTGATAAAGCAGGCTTTATGTCTAGGTGTCAGCAGATCCTAAAGGGAAAGGTGTTCTTTTTACTGCTCTCAACAAAACCTGCTTGCTTCAGGAGGGTTTGACGGTGTTTAGCTAACCCGTGCTTGCAGAGCATCTGCACAGCCCTGTACAGGACTTGCTCCTGGAGGCTTTCAAGGAGGGAAATGGCTGCCGGCATCTCATATTTGAACAGCCAGGAGCAGAAGAGAACCTTGGCAGGAAAGCTCATAGGAGAGGCTGTGTGCTAAATGTAACATTTCCTTGAACAGAGAAATGAAGTTTGTAATTAGTATCTTGGTATACTGTGATGAGTATATTGGTATATCAGAGGAGCTTTGCAGAGAGACTGCATTATTTGCATGGGTTTCCCTGTCCTGGGATCTCTCACAGCAGCTTGGACACTGCTTGCATGAAGGAGTGGAGGAAGACTTCTTCTTTTCCCCCCTGAGAAATTTAGGTTCTAGTTTTTGGTTTCTTCTGTGCTTCTCTGAAATGCTGAAGGGAGTCAGGCCAAAAGGATGGATATTGTGGGAAGGTGTTTGAGGTAGTACTGCAGTCTGTCAGGTGGGGACTGCAGCAAGCTAATGCATTGGAGGGATTTTCTTTTGGTCAAAACAGCAGTGACTTACATTTTTTTTGTTGCTGTTTGTTGATTTCACCTGTAGCAGGTCATCTCCTGTGCTTCTCATATCATCTGGGTGGTGTTTTTAACAAATCCCTCTCCTATTCTGCAGACGATTTTGGCACTAGTCTCCTGCTCTCTGCAGTGCCAGACTATAAATTGATTTCCCTCACCTCCAACACACAGCAAGATTGATCTAGGCTGTCAGGAATTCTGTGGCTGGGGCACTTTGGTTGTATGTGAAGCAGTTACCTGAATCTCTTTTAAATAGGCAAGCTGCTGCATAGCTGCCTACAACTGCAAGAGCTGTAATCACCCGGAGATTGTTCTGGTGGACTCCATTGTTGGGTTGGGCCTCTCTCTCTGTAATTAATAAGAAAGAGCTCTACTATAATTAATAAGAAAAGTTCTTGGATGAGGTATCTGAGAATTAAGTTAGAAAGCAGAAGGTGGTGTTTTGTTTTGTTTTGTTTTTTTCCCAAGTGCTAGTTGGTATTGGGTAAATTAGAAGTATTCCTCTATTCTGATATTTTACGGGTAAAATAAAGAGGTTAAGATGCTGCTTTCCATTCAACGCTTAATTGCCCTTAGGACTCAAGGCCGGGAGATTTTCCAGTGGTAAACAGTCTTTCTAAAACACAATTAGCATTAATTAACATCCATGCTGGGAATTTAATCAGAAGCAGCAGATTAATTCTGTTTTCTGAACCGTTTTTTCTCCCCTTGGATATGGCTGTTCTTGTACAGGCTGGAAACTTGTATTCACAGCAAGGAGCTTGTCCTGGGGCTTAGTCCCCCAGAGCTGTCACAGGAACATCATTCGCACATCAAAGACTTTTTAAAGAAATAGAAAAGAACCTTTCTGATGGATCAGATGCTACAAGCTTCCCCTAGAACTACAGCATTAAATTTCTGTGCTACAGCCAAGTGACTTACAGCTTTCCCTGTCTGTGTTTTACTTATTTTGCTTACAATTAGAGCTTTTTGTTTGTATGGGTCACTGAACTGGTTTCCTTGAGGAATGATATTTCAAAGCTATGTGGTGTACATTGAAACCCTAGTAAAAGCACTTTATTTAAAAAAAAAATTGTGATACCTAGTATAAATGTAAAACTAGTAGGTAAAAATAGCTCCCTGATGTTCTCCAAGTTGTTTGAAGGGTTACTTGTAGGTTAAATGCCTTTTTCTTTTTTTATACTCTGGTTATTTACTGTTTGTTTAGTAGCTAGACAGTGAAATTGAGTTCTGTTTACTTGCTGGGATATGCTCCAGTATTAAAATAGAAGCACTACAGAAAAATACAAAATAGTGTGAAAAGCATTGTTGGAAATACATATACAGACATATATTTACAAACACGTAAAAACTGAAAGTGCTCTTTCAGTGTAGGAGGAATGTGATTCCTGTCTAGTAAAGCTACTATTTCTGGTTTGATTTTTGGTTTTATATACTGATTAACTGACAGAATGAGGTGGGTTTTTTTTTTTGTTCAGTTACTTATTAGCCAGTTTTGTTTAAAGCTTGGGGCTATCTTGACTAAAATCAAGCTATGTATAAATTGATATGTAATATCAAGCTATGTATATCAAGATGCTGTACGGACTTGTACCATTTGTGATAGGGAAAAAAAGCTCTGCTGGAATCTAGTTGGCATTGAAAGTTATGGGATTTTAAGGACTTCAAGCTGAGCAGCTTTTAATAGGCATGCTTAAAGGGTGTTTTGTGTGTGGGTTTTGTTTGTTTTTTGTTTTCCTGGTATCATGCCTGTTGATTCGTGACAAAGTACTGTATTTGGGTTAAGTTGTATAGACTATAAATAGTATATGTTATATTTAGAGCATTGCAAGATGGTGTACCTCTTAGAAGTTTCTTTGTTTTCAGGTTTGTCATCGTTGTTCCTTTTTTTCCAGAAGTTTGGTGTCAATCAGTCTAAGCCGGAATTTACAGTGGATCTCAAAGGAGCATTGATTGACTGGGCCTCAAAGGACAAATCCAGCAAAAAGAATGTTATTGAGGTGAAATATTTTATTTAAATGCAGAATTAAATGTACTTTAATGACTTAAGAAATTTTCTCTAAACTTAAAATCAAAAACTTCAGTTGAGTTTTCTACATTTCATCATGCTCAAATGCAGATGTATCTTACCTTGTACCTGCAACAAATGTCCGGTTTTGGTATGTGTGTGTGGGATGTGCTTGCAAATTTTTGAGCAGACTGTTACTTACTATTTTCACTGTTAAGTATTCTCGAGTGGCTACATATTATCTAAAAGCCATGCCAGAGAGAAGTTTAATTGGATTTAGGTAATTTTGCTTTTGAATTGTACTGTGTCTATCAATTCTGATGATATGTGTTTTTATTTCTTTAAAGCTAAAAACCCGCCAAGGAACTGAGCTTTTAATTCAATCTGATAATGACAGCTTTATTAATGAATGGTATAAAGTTCTTAACTATACCATCAACAATCAGGTATGTGTTTGAATCGTGGAGGCTTTATTTTCAAGGTAGTGTTATTTAGTAAAAATAATTGATGTCATGACTCCTAATAACTTCATGTTCTCTTCACTTCCTGATTTTCTTGAGTGTTGGCAGGAGGTTGAGGATATGGCAGTTCCTGGTGGTGACAAGTGAAATGTAATTAATAGTGGCAAAGGAAGAAGGATGGTCCACTGGATTAAGAACCAGGAGGTGTGGGCAGACCTCCAGCTCAGAAATGACCTTCCTTCTGTGGCCAAATACTTGTTCTGTCTCAGTGACCTGAAAGGTCCTGATAGAGAGGGAGTAAAGGGGGCAGTCTGCCAAGAGAGTGCTTCATGACATACGTTAGTCAGCATTTGATACTGCTATTCACTCAATAAGGCTGCACTAAAGTGCAAATTAAAAGCCCTGGCAAAATACTGGTTTATCTCTTCCTATCAGACAGCATAATGCCAACTGTTTAATCATCAGAAAAGTGATCAAGCATTTACTGTCGATATTGCCAAACAAGATTTACCATCTTTGAATTCAGAAGATGTTGGAAGAGATCTTGGAGAAAATATTCCTCTTGTATCAAGTTGACTTCATGCGTGATCTTAATTTTTATAGTTACAGGCCTGCCTGCTGCCCGTGAGCTGCATTTGTGTTGCTTTCGATGTCAGTCAGTGGCCCTTCGTTTCTCTTAGCTCTGATAGTGTTCTCCACATGAAGTTAAAGTGCAGCTTAGTCGATGAAGTCATGCTTCTGCTCATTCAGTGCTCTGGAGTACACAACCTTGCCTTATTTTTAAAACATCCTTCCTTTTAACAGGAGGCACTGTATGGTCAGAATTTTGTAACTGTGTAAAAGTCAAGCTCACATGAGTAGAAGTGAAGAAAGAAATAAGCTGTTCTGGAAGAGAGAATGTTGCACTTAGACCAGAGGAAGCTTCTTTTCTTATTTTCCCGATATGTCTGCAGTCATGCATGTAGCATAGGTATGAGGTTGGAGGTGGGCAGTTTAACAGACTCTGCTATCTGCCTCCATACTACGTTTTCACTTGACTGTGGTTAATGAGAATATGCTGAGAGAGCAATAACACAGGGCAAGAATTTGATTCTGGTGTATATACTTTTTCAGAGTGAATTCAGTGCATGTTTTGACAGTGGTGAAACTTTCTAACTGATAGTTCTATTTTCTATTCAGAAAATTTTGATTATAGAGATCAGAAATAGCGGAAATGCTCTAGAAATGTTTCCTGGCCCTATCAATCAGGTGCTTCTATAGCAGACCGTGAAATAGCTGATACTTGTCCACTGTATTTGGGGAAAAAAAGATGATGATGTTTATTGGTTGATGTAATGAAGTGTTACCATGAAAGGCCGGTTGTATATTGTTTAGCATCCAGCAAAACTTTATTGGGTCTTATGATCAAATGGTGTTTCTCAAAGTTACTCACTCTGACACTGAGGATGGTATCATCTCTGAAGATGTGTTTATCATGTAGACTTCAGGAAAGAACCAACTGAATATCATTATAGGGAAAAAAATGTATGTCGTAGAACTGTCTAAAGGAAATGTGTTTGTTAATGCTGTATGAGTTAGCAAGCTGATCACTGTGTATCTTTTTAAATCGAATAGGTAGTAGAGTCTGATGAAGCATTAGAAGATGATTTACCAGATTCCCCTGGGGTGGAAAAACAAGACAAAGAAAAAGAGAAAGAGAATAAAGACTCTAAGAAACTTCGTTGTGAGTTGAAATTTTTTCATTAATTGATTTTAGCAATGCTAATTTTTACTCTTTGCAACTTCAGTATTATGTGTAAATAGAAAAGAATTCAAAAGGATAGCTAGAAATGAAACTACTCAAGTGTGGAAGCAGGCTTTTATATAGTTCATTCTACATCTTGGTGCCAATTAGTAGATTTTTCTCCTGTGTTTTATTAATCATACTTAAAGGAAAAAAAAAAAAAAGGAAAAGTACCAAATGTCTTCAGCTCCTACTGCATGACACATGAAAACATAGGAAAAAAATAGGCATTAGTGAAATGGATTATTGTCAAGGTGTTGTCAAATGCACAGAAATAATTAGTGTTTGTTTTCTTTGACTTCTATAAATGGTTTTGGATAAGAATTCTGTTGTCCTTTTGCATGTTCAAAACTGATTGTAACTGGTTTACTGGGTTTTTGTCTCTGGTACACCATCTGTAAATATTTGCCCTATTAACTTAAACTGCAATTTTGCTAAGTTGATAATGATGTTGTATTGGCTCATTTAGAGAAACTAAACATTTTTAATTATATCTTCAGAATTTTAGAGCTAAGTTTCTTTTAGCCGCAGAAATTTCTTCCTATGCACAGAAATATATTAATCAGACAGACTATTTTCTGTCTTTTACTTCCAGGCCTTATTATGTAAATGGCAAGAAAGTATTTATTTCTTTCAGAATAGTTAACTTAATGAAAGTCAGGACCGGTTTTGAAACATAGCTGTATTTTTTTAAATTCCATATCAATTCTGTATGTAAGCTACTGTTTAGTTAGTTTCACAGGCAACACTTGGTTTTACAACTTTTTTGTGACAGCATTGTCTCTTGGTGGTTTGAAAAATGGATGCTATTTACAAGGAGTTCCAAAAAGTTAAGGGAAAAATTGAAGATGCATTGCAAATTGGGATAGTTTTTTTATGTGGTTTTGAGCTTAAGTCTTTTTTGGGTTGTTTTGATGTTGGTTCCTTGGCAGATAAATATAGTGTTCATTTTGTAGCTGTTGATGCTAAATGCATTTCTCTTTTCAGCAGTGAAAGCACCTAGCAATATAGATTCCACAGATCAGAAAAAGACCAAAACGAAGCTCAAGAAGTTTCTCACACGGCGCCCTACATTACAAGCTGTCCGTGAAAAAGGCTACATTAAGGGTAAATGAACCTTTTTAACACAGGAAATAATTTGAAAAGCTGAATTTAGTAGTGCCGGTGTAAAATGGGGTTACAGTCGTCTAGTTTTAGAGTAAAACACTTGCATATAGCTGGTTTAACAGAAGTCTTGGATGTATAGTGGAACTGGTGATTAATTGTCGTTCTTGTGAGCACTGCTGCTAGCCACTCAACTTCACGGAGGATGTCCTCTCCTTCAGGCAAAACTGCAGTGAAAATTGAGGGCCCAGGACCCTCTTTGGACTTGGAGTCATTCTTAGCTAGAGAGTCCACTTGGTCTGCTGTTCTGAGCTGGAAACTTCAGATAGCTGATAATCATTCATGCATACAAGGGAAAGAAAAGCCCTTTGCGTACCAAGCTGAGTGCATGTGCTCATCTGTTTCACAAAGGTGTTTTCGTCTGAGTGGAACCCAGACAATCATGTGCCAGCTTATAAGAAATGAAATATTTAGGCAAACCAGGATGAGGCTAAAGGAATCTTAACTTAAACATCTTTTTTTCCCTAACCTTTTTTGAATGTATATGTTTTTTTAATTGTTTCAGAAACAATGTGTCTTAAAGATATTCTTGAATCAAACTTATGAAAGAATTGACTTCCATTTGTTACACTTGTAGAAACATTTTTAGAGCACAGTATTTGCACAGGTTTAAGTTAATGTGTTTGTGTAAATTATTGACTTGGTACCCACTGTAAAACTTCATTTATTTATTTATTTGTATGCTTTAGCAGGACTTGTAGGTGGTGCTCTACTAGGGTCAAAATAGCATATGGGTAGGCAAATATCAGACCAAATCCTACTGTGATTTGTCTAACGACATACTGTAACAGGTGTGCTTCTGTTGCATGTGATGTTTGATATATTTGTGTATCTGCAAATATTATTTAACTGTAAATTATGGAATTTTTGTTTGGGATAAGGAGGAATTATTCCCAGAGTTTGACGTTTTGCTCTGCTTTACAGCTTAGTATTCATGTCACGGCTCAGTGACGTAACTTCTGACATTAGCAACAGTGAATGCTAAGCCAAGTTTAACTTGTACACATGCGTGCTGATGATTGGATTTTTAATAAAGATGTTAAGGAATGAAGAGTTTGTTTTTATTTAAAAACATGGTGTGAATTTTAAAGTTGGATCTGAGCTGTACAGTTTTACATTTACTGTATGAATGAAAAATACAAAAGTCCTTATTTAAAAGCCCAGTGTACATTTGTGGCTGCTATGGAACAAGTTTAGTAAATGGAAAATTCGGCAAACCCAGTATGAGCAGAAAAAGTAATGAAAAGGTCTAGAAAAAACCCCACTTGAAACAGCCTGCACTAAGCAGAGAACTAACTGTGCTAAAGTTTTGTTAGGTGGAAAAACGGAATTAGAAAAGTTACCTTAAGATGAGAGGAAAAAATACAATTCCTATGTGTGAAAATTATTAAAGTCAGAGGCAATTGTAGCAAGTCATTTGTTACGTACTAGTATTTTCTTGTACTACCTAATATGCCTTGCTTTACCTGCTGCAGCTGCATGCTAGCCTGGCTTTCTACTGTGTGGGCTTTTTCAATCCCTTGCTACTGATTCCTGCTTGTACAGCTGGCTGCGTGAGTAGCAGCAGCAGGACTGAGGTGTTTTGAGTCACTGGACTTATATGCATACAGCTAATAATACCATTATGTGCCAGTTTTCATACTGTATAGTTGGTTTGGTGTGCTTTTTGGATTTCCCAAAGCAGTAGTTAGATGCAAGTGTTTGTAATGAATCTACTCAAATTACTAAACATGAAAAATGGGCTAGATCCTATGCATGATGCAAATGCAAGAACAGTTTCTCTCTTGCATAAGCTCTGAAGTAAGATCTACTAGATACTAGATGGCCACTTCTGTACCTTATTTGAGACTTAAAAAAACAAACAAACAAACCAAAACCAAAATAAAACCAAAAACTTTCTTCCCTTTAAGAGTGTGACCTTTGCTTCTCTATCTCAAGACCCTATTTCAGTGTCATGCATCTGAACAGGGAAGGCCATCTATTATTTGGGCATCTTTGAAAACTGTAGAAATGGGTCTGAGAGAGATTTTTGGTGATAACATAATCTGAATAAGAGGAATTAACATGTTGCTGAAATACACTGAGACATAGCAAGAATCTGTTCTCTGCCCAAGCTGATTTTCATTTTTGCTCCAGTTTATGATAGAAAACACTCCCCCTGGATTGTGTAGTTTTGAAAACAAGACTCAAGATTACCTTTGCCCATAAATAGCTGTATTTGGATTCCAACCTTGCAACCAGGTTGCCTATACATAGTCATACTTGCATCCATTCAGAGCTCTGTGATGTGAAGATCTGTCATTTGCAAATCCATGTCAGAACTTAAAGATGTTAGAAGTTAAAGACTCTGCATTAAAGTAAATTAATATGTCATGCTGGGTTAAACAGTAGGTGCAATGAAAGATGAAATTTTACAGGGCTTTTCCCCAAGCAATGCCAAAAGCTTTCACTTTGGGGAAAATAATAATAAAGTTTATTATTTCTGTTCAGATTTTTAACAAAGATTACAGTAAATGTGTTTTGAACTCAGAACAGGAATGGAGTGTAACAGGACATTTGAATCCATTAAATTTCTCATTATAGTAATGATGATATGACTCTTACAAGTATCTCCTGATGGATTAAAATTATTTCAGTAGCAAAAGTTCCTTACTCAGAGATGTTTGTGTAACCGCTTTCTTACTGGGAGCTTTTTCTTGCTGGGAGCTCTTTTCAGAACTTTCTTATTTTCACTCTAATACTGTGACAATTGTACCCAGTAGCCTTTGCCCTTTGTAGAGGTTTGTTTTAGCCTGAACTAGTTCTGTCACTTGAGTCCTGTTCCACTGTAAATCAGTCTCTTTACTTGGTTCCAGATCAAGTGTTTGGTTCCAATCTCACCAGCTTGTGTCAAAGAGAAAACAGCACGGTGCCAAAGTTCGTGAAGCTGTGCATTGAGCATGTTGAGGAACATGGTATGGTTCAAGTTTTTTGTTTCCGAATCTCTCTTGCTCATCACACTAATTCTGAACGGTTTAATCCTTAAAATGCTGTAGATTTATTTGGGGAAAAGAGTCTGAAACTTGTATCTGAAGTTGGCAAGTTTTTTTGAGAGTGAGGAGGTAGGTGGGATCCAGAATTTCGAGAGGGGAGAAAATCTTATATATGAGAAATTGATGTGCTTCAGTATATTTCAAGCTGAGGAGAAGGCAGGAAAGCCTCCTGGAAGTAAGGCCCTAAGGAAAGAGGGATTAGAAGAAGTAATAGAAGAGCTCAGCCCATCAAGTTTTTTTTTCCAGATGGAAAGAGACAGACTGTCAAAACCCAACCATTCATTTTAGGGAAGTTTAGGCATGCTTACAATCGTTTATATTAAAACTTCCTTGAAACAAACTTCTAGGAAAAAGTTGTGTTCCTGCTCTGTGTATGTGCTGACTGCCAGAAGACAAGTCTGTTGGTTTGATGCCCTTCAGCCAGTTACACTGATTGCTATGTGAAGTTTTATGCAATTCTGGAGACTATCAGTGTCCACATACTGACTCAATTTGTGTTTGCTTTCATTGAAAATAAGTCTCTCCTACTTAATAACTGAGAAAGTTGTATGTTTGAAAGCTACATGTGACATTCTGGGTTGTCTGATGTAAAGGATATCTTCACATTTTTGTTGAAAATATTATGTTCGTTGCGATTCCTGACTTTGCTGTAGTCTGTGCTGGTTTTCTTGCTTGTTTCTTGCTGTTGTCATGGCCCTACCTCTTGGAAAAGATGACAGAGGGGATTATGGAATCTCCATAACCATCTTTTAAATATATACCAGTCTGTTAAACTGAGAACATTCTCTTGAGAATCAGGGTAAGTGTTACAGGGGAATACTACATGTGAATTTTAAATTATCTTCCATGGGAACTTTGTTTAGGATTTTGTTGCAGCCTGTAGTCCTCTCTCTCAGTGCTGTTATCTTACGGGCTGGGAGGGGAAAAATAACTGCTTCCATTGCCTGTCTTCAGTTCAACAAACTGCCACCTTGCTTGTAACAGCAGGCTTTATTCATTTGTGAGAAAGGGGTTATTTTGCTTTGTTCTTTTTTTTTTTTTAATTTCTTTTTTATTTTAAAGACAGGACTGCAGTGAAGATAGTGGTGAAGTTTTCCTTTTTTAAATACCTGAGGGGAAGCTGACAGAAATTAACAGGTTTTTTCCCCCCACTTCTCCAACTCTTCTTCCTACTGCCAATACACTTCAAATCAGTTCTTTCTGTAAAGGAATGACTAGTGGATTATGGGGAAAAGGGATATGTCAGATGGTGCTGGTAACTGTGCTGTGTTGCATCAGACAACTCCTTGAGAAGCTACAGGGACTTGCAGGTATTCTGGCAACACTCACCCTCTCAGTGGCACTGACTCACATGCTGCATTCAAGTGGCATTTCAATTAAATTCTTTACCTCCTAATCACTTTTGAGTAACTGCAGTAGCAACCACAGAGACACAGTTTTCTTCTTCGCCGGTTGAGTGTGCAATACTGTAAAGGCAAGGGCTACCTGTTTTAGTTTTGTAGGCTGCTTGGTAGTGATGAGTGTGCATGCACATCATTCCTTCTCCATGCAAACAACTTTGAGATACTCTCTATGCATGACTTATTTTTCTTAACCGTACATTAAAAAATTGAACATCCACAAAAAACTTGGTTCTTGCATGTTGACTCCCAAATACTCCCTGCCCACCCACCGAGAGCATCTTAAATGAGACCCCTAGTCTCACTGGGGAGACTTGGAGCAACAGCCAGGTTTCATTACTACTGTTCTGTTGTGTAGGAAGTTTTAGAGACTTTGAGCTTGACACTACCAAACCTGTGTCAGCAGACTAAACCTCATGTGATGTATGCCTTGCCTGTTAAAAAAAAATCTAGTTTAACTCCTTTTTTTGTTGTTGTTGTTGAACCAAATATTCTTAGTTACAAGGTGGGTTTCTTTTGTCTTTAATTTTGCAGAGTAGACCTATAAAGAAGAACCTAGTGATTTCAATATTCGTACGTGTGTAAGGTATTAAAATGGATTTATCCCTTTGTTTTAGGATTAGATGTTGATGGCTTATACCGAGTTAGTGGCAATCTTGCAGTGATACAGAAGCTAAGATTCGCAGTCAATCATGGTAAGCTTCCTTCAACTGTTTGACAATTGTGTGTATTTTCAGACTGTTGAAGTTCATAGAAAGCTCAGGAAAAAAAAATTCATAATGTATAACTGCAGTCTTGAGAAGTGATTGTCATCTTCAAAGTGAAATTGCTTCAAAATTGCATAATTAGTGTGAAATAATAATTTGAAAAACCTAGCATCCTGGAGTTTTAATCCTATGTGGAGCATAGAGGCATAGCTAGAACATAATTCTAAAGAAACGTGATTAATAGAATTGGGGGGGGGATTATTTCAAACAAAGTAACTTCATACCTTATGGAAAAGTGGTGAGCATATTAAGTTTCCACGAGCAATTAAAATTGCAAGTTAATGCTTTTTAGTGAGATTTCCTACTGCCTTTTAGTATGGATATGCTTAGCTCCTCTTCGCCGTGCTCTGTGTACAAAACCCTTTCATGTGGCTATGTCGTCGTGCTTTGTTCAGTGGGAATCAATAGGCGGCGGGCAAGTAGGCAGAGGACAGTAGCCTGTCTGCAGTCTGACCTCTCCTGGTTGACAGGGCCCGACAGGAAATTCTGCGTTACATCGGGCAGGTCCTGCTTCCCTCTGGGAAACGCCCTGGTGTAGGGGAGCTGCATGTGGTGCAGTAGGCAGAGTTTGTCCATCTCTGCATGTAGTGGTTGAGGTTTTGTATCCCCTTTTACAGGGCTGCAGCTCTGTATCCCAGCAGAGAATGGGCTGAAGTGGAGTAAGAGTATTCACTGCTTTAAAAGCAATAAGTACAGAAGAATAGTTAAGTTTATTTTTTAAAAAAAGCTTTTATAGTTTAATTAGTAACGTTAATTATCAATTTTTCTCTCTCAGATGAGAAACTAGACTTGAATGACAGTAAATGGGAAGATATACATGTCATCACAGGAGCTCTAAAGATGTTTTTCAGAGAATTGCCAGAGCCGCTGTTCACTTATAATCACTTCAATGACTTTGTCAATGCAATTAGTAAGTCTGGAAAACATACACGTGCTTTTTGTGTAAGCTCTGCTCGATATGTACAATTCATTTAATTATTTTGGACAGTAAAAAGAATGTTTTGGTTATGAATGTCTGCAAGGCTTACCTAAAATAGCCTGTCAGTAGCGTACGGCCCAGGAGGTGGCAGTGTGTAATCTCGTATCAGCACTGCAAAACGTTTGCTTTTATTCCCAGTCTGTTACATTTTATGACAAAGTTTTAAACAAAAATACTGAATTTTTGTTTCTATACCTCATCCTTCTGCAGAACAAGAACCGAGGCAGCGTGTCCATGCTGTTAAAGATTTAATCAAACAGTTGCCAAAACCAAATCAGGACACTATGCAGGTGCTCTTCAGACACCTGAAGAGGTAAGTAGCAGATAGAAGCAAAGGCTTTGTATTGCTGAGACTCCCTTAAAGCTAAATAATCCAATTAAAAAGTACTCGGTGACTTTTCCTACTGCATTTTTTTAGCCTATATTGGACTTGATGAAAACAATATATCAGTCTGTATTTATACATTTTATGTATATTTGCAGAGCACCAAACAGACTTGAGGCAGTACATCATAGTTGTGATGTGTGCTGCCAAGTCCTTATGTTTGAGGGATTGTGAGAGGATCAGGAATAGCATTTCAAAACAAAACTTTTCTGTAGAGAGGGGAATCACACCAACTGTATATCCTAATAACAAGAGTACTAATTAAATAAATACTGTGAATAGTCATTTGATTTGGACTCTTTTTCCTCTCATCCTGTTACTCTAACACTGGTAAGTCTCCTTTTGTGTATTTTTTTCTCTTTCAGAGTTGTAGAAAATGGAGAAAAGAACCGAATGACCTATCAAAGTGTAGCAATAGTTTTCGGTCCAACCTTACTAAAACCAGAGAAAGAGACTGGTAACATAGCAGTCCACACAGTATACCAGAATCAGATTGTAGAATTAATTCTACTGGAATTGAATTCCATCTTTGGACGCTGACATTTTTCTTGGAGTAGAAACTGGAAGTGATGGGTTGGCAGCAGTACTCCATCAGAAGGAAAATCTCTCGCTGTACATGATGTATTATGTTTGTGGACCAAGCAGCAACTTGTTTTTTGCACTTTTGGGGAGGGGAGAAAGAGGAGAAATGTTTGACCACTTTAATGCGAATTAAAGACAACACTTTGGATTTCTTTGAAAAGTTCAATGTAAAAAGTGAATTGAAAGGTTTATAGTTTGCCTTTTTAAAGTAGCATTTGAAAAATGTAATATAAGTTCATACACTGGATTTCTTGGGGAGTAAAGCTATTAATCTCAAACTGGATAATCTGGAATTTAATCTTAAAATTCTTCCACTTGATAGGGAAAAGTCCCACCAACTGGTATGGAAAAATTCAGTGAAGTTACATCTTAAGCTTGTGTATTACAGCCTACTCAGATCTGTATGACACTTTTCCAAGGGGTTTCTGCATGCAGTGACTGTCTTAAGCTTGTGCTAACAGTTTGGTTTAGTTATTCAAATCTAATTCTTCACTTAATATCTGCTGTCCTTTTCCCTTCCCTGCCTTCCCCCCGCCTTCCCCTTTTTCTTTTTTTCTTTTCTTTCTTTCCTTTTTTTTCCCAACAACCTTTCTGGAACTTCTTAGTTGCTTTATAGAACAGCACACTATTTCAAACACTGAACTTGTAAGAGTATCCAGCAAAGGATATTTGTCTTGTGGCATAGTAGAAGTCATATTTAATAAACATGTTAATTTTTTCAGGGTATTTCCTGAGCTAAGTTTTGTGTTATACTGATTTAAAGCTAAAATCCTAAGTAAATACCAACTGTAACACTGTACTGAGTTCTTGATATAATGCTGTGGTAGTGGAAGCTTCTTGATGTAAATACAGACTGTCCTTTTGATTCTTGTATATAATTCAGTTCCTGTATAGTTTAAGATCACTTTAGTCACACATTTCTAATCATGGGTAGATGAGCTACAGTAGCGTCATGTTTCCAGTGGATGTCTGGGTTTCAGCAGGGAAACAGGTTGTGGGGAGGGAGGGGGGACCTAACTGTGTGCACTTTTAGATGTTAATTACATTTGCGGGCAAATAACTGTAATGCAAATGGTACTGGAGAAATACTGAGTGTGCTTGCTAAATTGTTAATGCACTACAAGAGGAGCCTTCTAGGTTATTTAATATGTACAGGATACATTAGAAAAATGTATTATGAATTCTAACATCTACAAATAGTGAAACTCATGTTTTGATAGATAGATGTTTGATGGAATCCATGATGCTAAATTTAAGATTTTCTTTTTACATTAATGTAGAATAATTTGTAAAATTGGTTTTGAAAGATTTTGTTACAGGGAGCATGGTCAGCTGAAGATTTTTTTAAATGTATTTTTCTAGACTAACTGCTGTATCTGACATATTTGTTATGTCTAACCCAAATAAAAAACTGTTAGTTCTTTTAGAGTTTGCCATTCCCGCTTCAGACAACATGAACCCCCTTTAAACAATAGGACCGGTGTATCTTACTGCTTAGTGTGGATACTACTTGTGGCAGAGAGTTGTCATGCTGGATTAAAAGACAAATGCTTATTTTATAACCTAACAATTTTAGGAACTCCCAGTCCCTTTCTTTAACAATATAAATTCTAACATAAGGTACAGAGAGGGTGGAAGTAACTTATGGATATAGATTTGCTGTCTTAAAGCATATCCCGACTTACATGGAACCTACTGTACAGTAAGCAGATACATTGGGGAAATAATTGTGTTTTTCCCTCTGATCTGGTGCATACCTTTCGTAACACAGTTCTGGCTTACAGCAAAGGGGATGTGTGGTGAAGTACGGAGGTGAAATCAGATGAATGGTACGAGAATTCCATGAGCATAGAACTTGCATGAAAAGTCTTCAGAGATAAAAGAGAAGATGAGTTACCTTGTGGCTTTCTCACTGTCGTCTTGTGGTAATGGTGAAGTCTTGTGGTTTGTTGCAAAGCGACCTGGGTGAGAATTGTGAAAGCTCCATCTCCACGTTGTGTTGTCAGCCTTCTGGCAGGCTGTCAAATCGGAGCAGTGCCGAGTGGCAGGTGTGCCCCAAGCTACTAGAAAATATCAGTTGAAATGTGCTGCTGTAGATTATTCAAATCCCAACTTCAGCTGTAAAATAAAAAAGAATTCGCACTGCTAAATGAGAGGGCTTATCCACACCTTTTCTGTATGAGCATTATGTTTTCAAAGAAAGAATGCCTTTTAAAAACACTTCGATAAGGAGGATGTCACACTTTTCCTTGTATTCCCCTAAAATAAAGCATTTTGTTATTACAATATATAGTATGGTTTTGTGCAGTGGAGTTGTCATGTTTTAGTGTTCTCATTGTTAGTTTGGGGAGGGGAGAGTATTCTTTTTAATTGAAAGAGGTGTAGCAAAATGCTCAAAACCTTCAGGAGGAGGAACAACTTGAAACGATGTATGTTACCACACTGGGTTTCTTCACTCCTTGAACTACCTTGTCTTGTTCCTGCAGTTAGGTTTCTTTTAACAAATCAAAACCAGATTTTTGCACAAACACAACAGGGGAAAGCTATTTGTATTAGGTGAAACATAATTAAATTTATATATGCTTCAGTTTGGGCTTTAAATCGGATTTGGTTCTGGTTTAAAATCAATTTAAAGACTGCATATAAACTTTTGCAGCCACTCAAAGATACTGGGCAACTAATTTTATGTATTGGTGACAGCTGAAATGTTGTTGCAGCGCTAGAGCTGTGTTCAGCTCTGTAGTTCAGCTCTCATGTGACTCTCAGATGTGCTTGATCTCTACCAGTTATGTGTTTCTTCACTTTTAAGCTGGAGAAAGAAGTAGACACAAAAAAAGACAAGGCAAAAGTACACAGCCATTTAATGTAAATACTTTTTATTAAAGTCAGAGTTGCATGTAAATAAAGCTTCCTGCATGCAAGTGAATAGGTCATGCTTATGGCCCAGACTTTCCTCCCCATCTTCACAGAAAGCCATGATAAATTCCCTTTGTACTGATCCCATTGTATCCTGGCAAGTGAATCTTTGACTCGCAGCGTGAGAGAAGGGAGTCTGTAGGTAATACGGTATCAGTTTATTCCTAGGTGGAGCCCTGACTTTTTTCCTTTAAAGAGAACAACTTTATTTAGCCCCAAAGTAATGATATTTTCAGAATCTGTTGGTTAATTTGTAAGCCATAACGTAAGCCAAGGACAGTGGGGCATTCTGCTGGGCAAAGGGAGAGGTACAGCATGTCTAATGAGGCCTTCTGCAACTGCCGGGGAGAGGAGAGCTCCTCTGAAGAATCTTAATTAGCCTCCACAATTGCAAAGTTTTGTGGGCAAGCAGCTGGTAGGACTGGATCAGCCCTTTACAAAAGTAACCCTATGTGATTGTGGGACTTAAATGAACATTCCCCGCCACCCCCCACCCCC